GATTTCTTTAGTATTTCAGTGCACCGGGTTGTGAAGACAAATACAGGGTTCGTCACGTGACGCTAACTGACACAAAATATTTCACAGCGTTACAACCTCAGTGAAAGGACTTTGTTATTTGGGTCTATTTGGACCAATAAGAGCAAAGTCTGGAAAAGCTGCACAACAAAATTGTATCATTTTAGTTAGCTAGCAGAGAGCCTGTAGTGTATGCTCACCCTCACCCCTAGATATATTAAAATCTACTATATTAACCAATATACAACTAACCAATATGACTAATATTTTACCTTGAATCACCAAACACATTATTACTGGATAACTGGATGTAAGTCTGGTAAACAATGAAAGACTGAATCAAACTTTATGACTCAGCTCTGTGATCCGGACGCCGTTTACGCTGGGATGAGTTTAATAGCGCTGTGTGCTTGTTTATTGTATCAAAATGTTTACTTAGTTGTTTATTGTGGGTGTTCAGTTGCTTATTAAGTGGCAGCATTACACTGATTGATATTGATTTTATTTACATTATTATGGGGTTTAATGGATCATATTTGAAATAATATTGTTTGTCTGTAATGCCTATGGAGACCTGTAATTAGCAGTTATTAATTTAAAAGTTGCAATTAAATTAAAAGTATTTTTATAAACTCTGATCATTTATTTATTTCTTTTGAGTAATTAATGCTGCATTAATAAAATGGAAAGAAAAAAATTATAATTGTGAATGAAAATTGTTGCTAATACTGAACAGTAAACTGATTTTCTGATTTTATGGTTTCTGTTTGAAGGTTATCGACCTGATAAAAAGAACTTTGTATGAATCCTGACTGTAAATACAAAGAACTTACTTAACTTCAATAAATACAAAGAAAGAATATTGAAAGTGAAGTTGTCCAGCGTCCTCTGTGATCTCCGGAGCCTTTTTCTAGTTTATGGTAGAAATTGATGAAAAAACCCAAATAACTGGACATTAATTCAGCGGTTGTGTGATTTCTGTGTTTTTCTTTCTGGACGTCAGTGCTCTCTTCTTAAAAACTAATGCAAACTTTTACTGACAGTTAAATTGCATTTTTCTGTCATCCTTTTGTCATCCTCATCTTCCTCTAATCCTTCCTCTTTAGTTTCTCTCTGAATGCTTCCAGAGGACTCCTCGAAAGGTGAGGACTTAAACTTCTGATTACGTCTATCAGCCGTATTATTATATTTATATTATATAATGAAGTCATTTTTAGAGCAAGGCCACTTTGGCCTTTGATGAATACAAATGTATTGGATTATCGCAGCCAATACGTAGGACACCGAGGCCAAAACTACCCAACAGTATATAAAGAATTAGCTCAACCTTAATACAGACCTATTATATATGGAAGCCCATTTCTGCCAATATGACAGACCTAAAGTCATTATAATAAGAAACTCTCTCATTATAATGACTGACACTACTTACTCTTTTTCTTGTTTATGTCACATTGGCAGTAACAGGCTTCCAGTTATGAGCCTGAACAAACAGAGTGAATTTGTTAATGTACCTCTCTGTTTACCACAGCGTAAGTGATTCGCTGGATTAGAAACTGATTGACAGCTGGTTCAGGCTGTGTATTGCTGAAACTAGAGGATTGTAAGCCTCTGATTGGTCAGATTAAAAATTATGTTAGTAACCCCGCCCCCTCAAAGTGTCGGTCTGCAGAGACACAGAGTTGAACCCGAGCCGCAGTTGAGATTAAAAGACGAGGAACTCAAGGAGGGCAAGTAACTTTTTACGGTTTGACTTTCCTCTCTGCTCTCTTTCCTCTCATTAACTGGACTCACAGGAAGAAAGAGGCTGTGTGACATAAAACCGCTAACCCTAACCCTCTTTTCCTTCCTTGTTTTTATAGAATGGGGAACTGGTTTTCGGCTGCGTCTCCGGCAGCAACACAGCATGGTAATGTGGTTTCTAACGCTCCTTCATGTGCCACTGATTTGTTTACATACTTCCAAAGAGAGAATGAGTCCTGTGGTTTCTGTTGCTGGGACCGGGACTTTGTGAGCTCTGTCTGCAGCAGGAAGTCAGCAATAGTTCAGTATGAGTCAGATCTGACGTGACCCAACGTGTTCAGTGGAAGCAGACTGGTGTCAGTCCGTCTGTGTGTTACTCTGATGAATGTGGGACAGTAAATACTCTAAAACATCATGAGTGTGTGGAATCAAATCATTTCACAGCTTGTGATTCTGTCTGATCTAAACTGTTTTCTCTTCTGCTTGTGACTTAAGAACTGGTGACAACAGGGTTTCTCAGGATAAACTTGTGAATCAATGAAATGGAGTTCCTTTCTCATTTGTTGACAGGAGTTATATACATTCTCATTAAGCACTTATGTTGAGGTCATTTATACCTTGTGTTAATTGTCTGTTTTGGGGCTTTTAAACAAGCATTATTCTAATCAGTTTCATCAATCTTTTTGTGTATCCATTTTACAATCATTTAATTTATGTAATGTTGATTCAGTACCACATTCTACCTATATGCTGTAATATTTACATACATGGCCCTTCCCTTCTAAATTCACAAGTGTTATTTCCTCCAGTTTTGACATTTCTCAAGAGATTTAACTTTTTAACTGCAAATATTTGTTGTGTTGTTTTTAGGGATTTTATATCCCGGGCATAATTGATCAAACAAAAGAAAAACTCTGTCTACATAGAGTTCCATCATTTTCTGAATACCTCTTATTGTCCAGGTTTTAAATCCTCCATCTCTTTTACCAGGTGTTTGCTGTCTTTACCTGAAGACTGATTCATGTTGTGATGTTACACCCTCTAGGAGGCGGGGCTTGTGTTGTGTTCCCTGTGTTTGATTTGTCAGGTTGGTGTAGAGACAAAGTTGTTTTTGATTGGCAGGTGTGTGTCACAAACTTCGGCCCATCGGAAGTGTAAATCTGTCACATGACTTGAGAGACAATGTCAGTCCTATTCCCCTAATTGACTCTTTTATTTGACATGCTCAGTTGTGTTGTACAGACATCTAGTGGCCACAGTTATGAAATAAGCTTCTTTAGTAATTTAAAGGTCCAGTGTGTAACATTGAGGAGGATCTATTGTCAGAAATGGAATATAATATTCATAGGTATGTTATCATAAGTGTATAATCAGCTAAATATAAGAATCTTTGTGTTTCCGTTACCTAAGAATGAGACGTCTTTATCTATAGAGGGAGGGGGTCCTCTTCTGGCAGAGTCCACCATGTTTCTACAGTAGCCTAGAATGGACAAACCATATACTGGCTCTAGATAAGGCAGCCTTTTCAGTGTTTTTTTTAGCAGAGTTTTGCGGCTACCGTACTTTGTCATTCCCACTTTGTTGTTACAGACTCAAGTGGTGTTCAGTTAGTTGCAATCTGCAACTTCACCTCTAGATGGCACTATATCCCACACAATGGTCCTTTAAAAAGATAAGATAATAAGATAATTACTGCATGAGTTGGTGAGAGAGTATAGTAACCAACCGGGTATGTCTTTCCAAAACATATCCTGTCATCTTTTGGTGAATCAGCTGCTAATTTCAGACCCTAGGTGTATGTCATACCCCTCCCTCTCCACCGTTCTTAAATAGAGGTGAAAAATTGTCTCACTGATATTGTTTATATTGAATAAACCAGTTCTGAGCTTTTAAAATTAGGTTTTTACTCGTCTGACTGACAGACCTTCAGTGACCCCTGCTGCTGACTGGCAGCACTACAGCTCAGACTGGGTTTCTGCCATCTTGTCAGACTGACGTTTCTGGATTCTGGTTTGAAGGAATGAGGGTATGATGGCTGTCCATCAGATGAACACAGACACCAGCAGCGACTGTCAGCGTCTGCAGACGAAGGTAGAAAGTCTCTTTGAGCTCATCTGGACTTTAACAGGTGAGAGTCCTGACAGGTAACATGACACAGCTTTGATGAAGGAACTCTGCTGTCATTGGTTATATTTTGGGGCTACATAATAAACTTGTAGATGAGAGCAGTGATGAATTCTTTCAACACTGTTATTTACTGTTTTTAAGTCTTAATATTCATGAATTCATTCACTAATTATTCTATGTGACTTTTTGGGACAAAATGAGCCTTTTAATGTTCACTTTAGTCTGATTTAATCTGCACCAGGAAACAAGTTTGATTATAATGTGAACTAATGTCACTGCTGAGAACTCAGGGAGAACTGATCTGACAGCCTTTGACTGAAACTTGATCAGCTGTTTATTCTCTGACTGTACATAACTACACACACAGCAGTGAATATAAGACCAGCAGCTGTTTGCTGTCTTTACCTGGAGACTTATTCATGTTGTGATGTCACACCCTGTAGGAGGCGGGGCTTGTGTTGTGTTCCCTGGGTTTGATTTGTCAGGTTGGTGGAGTGCACTGCCTTAAAATAAGTGTAAGCAGTGTGCCACTTCTAAATTTCATTATGCACACAAATTACACTAACACAGCTCGTGTGTCGGCCAATCAGAACTCCCGTTGCTGTTCTGATAAATTTGTGTTCCAGTTTTCCTTCAGGTTGTAAACACTGTCTGATTTTAACAGAGAGCCACAATGACACCAGAGGACCTTTTGAAGACTCTGGAGGATTTAACAGCCGATGAATTCAAGAACTTCAAATGGTATCTGCGGCAGCCTGACAATCTGGAAGGGTACTCAACCATCAGAGTGGCCAAACTGGAGTGGGCAGAAAGGTGGGACACAGTGGATCTGATGGTGAACACCTATACACTTCCCAGAGCTCTGAAGGTGACCAAGAAGGTTTTAGAAAAGATAAACAGGAACGATCTGGTTAAGAGTCTGCCAGACACCAGCTCAGGACCAGAAGGTCAGTCACACTTTCTTTTATTTTTGTCTTCAGGTAAATAGAGTAGGTTGCCCAAAGAAAAACAAATGGCGGTCTGATTATAGCCTGTAACTATGAGAAAACGTTCAGGTTATCCAATGTGAAATGTGATGTAAAATAAAGCAGTTTCCTGCAAGTTTCCTGCAGGTTGTTGTTGGAGAGTTTTTGTATTAGACACTGAGAGTGATGATGAACAGTTAGTATGTGAACATTGCACAGAGATCTACAATCTTTGGGATTATTCAGGCTGAAAGAAGTCAATCTGTTTCTTCAGGAGCAGCTAGACAAACACGAGATATTGAATGGATACAAAGTCAGTGATCAGAAATACATAAATAACACGTATGGCCCTATCTAAATAGTACAGTACCATTTCCTATCTAAATAAAACACAATAAGTGTGATTCAAATACAGAGGACTGAGGGGACTGGAGCACAGTGATTAATTCACAGCCTTTAACTGAACAAACAAACCAATGTTTGGACACTGTGTTTTCATCAGTCAAAATGACAATGTAATGTGTTATATCTTATGGGAACAGACGTTTCATTTTCAGTATTATAACCTCAGAGTAAGTCATTGTAATTGTATGACGTATATGTATATACGTATAAAGAAGTTGTTCCCTTAATTGGCACTTCTTTACTGGATATGATTAATCTTTCTTTATTATCAGGATATGTACCACAGTCCTTTAAAGTAGCTGTAATTAAACCCCTTCTTAAAAAGTCTACTCTTGACCCAGGGGTTTTAGCCAACTATAGACCGATTTCTAACCTCCCGTTCCTCTCTAAGATTCTGGAGAAAGTAGTCGCCAAAGAGTTGTGTGACTTTCTACATAACAATAGTTTATTTGAGGATTTTCAGTCAGGATTTAGAGTTCATCATAGCACAGAGACAGCTCTGGTTAAAGTTAATAATGACCTTCTGACTGCTTCTGACAATGGACTTGTCTCTGTACTTGTATTATTAGATCTTAGTGCTGCATTTGACACCATTGACCATGATATTCTTTTACAGAGACTTGAGCATCAAATTGGCATTAAAGGAACTGCCCTAACCTGGTTTAAGTCATACTTATCAGATCGTTCTCAGTTTGTACATGTTAACGATGAATCCTCCATAAATACTAAAGTTAGTCATGGAGTTCCACAAGGTTCTGTACTTGGACCAATACTATTTACTTTATATATGCTCCCTTTAGGCAACATTATTAGGAATCACTCCATTAACTTTCACTGTTATGCAGATGATACGCAGTTATATCTATCAATCAAACCCAATGAAATTAATCAATTATCTAAATTACAAACATGTCTTAAGGACATAAAATCCTGGATGACCTGCAATTTTCTGATGTTAAACTCAGAAAAAACCGAAATTCTTGTTCTTGGCCCCAAAAACCTTAGAGACTCATTGTCTAAAGATATAGTCACTCTAGATGGCATTAACTTGGCCTCTAGCACCACTGTCAGGAATCTTGGAGTTATCTTTGATCAGGATTTGTCATTTAACTCCCACATAAAGCAGACCTCTAGGACTGCCTTCTTTCATTTACGTAATATTAGAAAAATTAGACACATCCTATCACAGACAGATGCAGAAAAACTAATCCATGCATTTGTTACTTCAAGGCTGGATTACTGCAACTCTTTATTATCAGGTTGCCCCAATAAGTCCATTAAAACGCTCCAATTAATTCAGAATGCTGCAGCACGAGTACTGACAGGAACTAGAAAAAGAGATCACATCTCTCCTGTACTAGCTACTCTGCATTGGCTCCCTATAAAATGTAGAATTGAATTTAAAATACTCCTCCTCACCTATAAAGCTCTTCATGGTCAGGCCCCTTCATATCTTAAAGAGCTCATAGTACCCTATTACCCCACTAGAACACTACGTTCTCTGAATGCTGGGCTACTTGTGGTTCCTATAGTCTCTAAAAGTAGAACAGGAGCCAGAGCCTTCAGTTACCAAGCTCCTCTCCTGTGGAACCAGCTTCCAGTTGTGGTTCGGGAGGCAGACACCCTCACCACATTCAAGAGTAGGCTTAAGACATTCCTCTTTGATAAAGCTTATAGTTAGGGCTGGATCAGGTGAGTCCTGAACCATCCCTTAGTTATGCTGCTATAGGCCTAGACTATCGGGGGATTTCCCATGGTGCACTGAGCTACTCTCTTCCTCTCTCTTTCTGCACTCATTCATGTCCCTTTAATGCATGTTACTAACTCCACTTCTTCCCCGGAGTTCTTGTGCTTTCTCGTCTCGCAGGTTCTCATGGATCCTGGTGGAGCCTCCTGCCATGGTCCTGCTTGACTGCCATTGCCAATACTGTTGTTGCTGTGCACCTGTCTGTCTGTCTTTGCTCTCTCTCTCTCTCTCTCTCTCTCTCTCTCTCTCTCTCTCTCTCTCTCTCACCCCAACTGGTCGAGACAGACGACCACCCACCTAGAGCCGGAGGATCTGTCCTAGGTTTCTGCCTTTTAACAGGCAGTTTTTCCTTGCCCTTGTCGCCAAGTGCTTGCTCATGGTGGTACTGTTGGGTCTCTGTAATTAATGTTAAAGAGTTCGGTCTAGACCTGCTCTATTTGAAAAGTGTCCTGAGATAACTTCTGTTATGAATTGGCGCTATACAAATAAAATTGAATTGAATTGAATTGAATTGAATATGTATTATAATGTGATACATACGTTTTCATTCAGATTTGAAATATAACACAATCTCTCTGTCAGTGGATAACAGTGATGTTGCAGAAACTTCAGAGACCAGAGGACCTTCCTCCTCTCAGTGTGAAGGTAAAGTTGCTGTTTTCTCTGGTATGTATGGAAGCCCTGAAAGACAAAGTGTAGTTCTTATAGGCTGTCTGTGGCTCAGGAGGTAGAGCAGGTCGTCCACTAATCAGAAGGTTGGTGGTTTGATCTCTAGCTCCACCTGCTGCACGTCAAAGTGTCCTTGAGCAAGCTACTGAACCCCACATTTCTGTTTCTGATGGGCAGGTGGCACCCTGCAGCCTCTGCCAGTAGTGTATGAATGTGAGTAAATGTGACATATAGTGTAAGGCACTTACTTACAGTCTGAAGACTAGCAGGCGCAACATGCAGTGAATGCAGTCCATTTACCATTAATAGCATCAAATCACTAATTAAAAAGAAACTCATGAAAACAATTCAATTCAGCATACATCAGTGTGATAACAAATAATATTATATTCATTATATTATAATATATAATATAATATGTATATTATATTACCGTAAAACTTCTCATAATAGCCCAGGCGTTTATTTGCTTGAATCACTGAACGCACCCTGCCTTTATTGGGGACGTGCATCTATTAGGGACAGGCGTTTAATTAATTTATTAATTAATTAAATTTTAATTTATTTAAAGCAGTATCAATCTTATTTGTAAAATCAATAAAAATTAGGATATCACAGAACATATGAATTACAAATCATTCACTCTGAGAGACAGCGCATCTAGGCCAACCTGGTGCGCAGAGAGAGAGAGAGAGAGAGAGAGAGAGAGAGAGAGAGAGAGAGAGCGCAAATATGCAGCCTACCTTAGAAAGAATGAAAGCTGAAGGTTTTACAATAGTTGTGGTGTTTCAAGTTTTATTTGCGCAGGTTTTAACAAATCAGTTGTGCTTGTAAAAACAAAAAAGACCAGGTAGACCACAATGCCTTTTAATGAATGGAATATGTTACCCCTTTAACAAAAATATGCTAAAATCTTTAGGTACTGTATTTGCATTGTTTAACAAACTTCATAGCCTACCTAAAAAATATGGGAACTAAAAGAACATAAAGCCTATTGGTATGTGAGGCAGTTACCATAATATACTGTAGTAACACTGTAGACCAAAGGCTGATTAATTCAATTCAAATCAATTTTATTTGTGTAGCGCCAATTCATAACAGAAGTTATCTCAGGACACTTTTCAAATAGAGCAGGTCTAGACCGAACTCTTTATAACATTATTTACAGAGACCCAACAGTACCACCATGAGCAAGACCTTGGAGACACTGTTAAAAGGCAGAAACCTAGGACAGATCCTTCGGCTCTAGGTGGGTGGTCGTCTGTCTCAACCAGTTGGGGTGAGAGAGAAAGAGAGAGAGAGACAGACAGACAATTGCACAGCAACAACAACTACACTAATAGTAGTGACTGATGATGATGAACATGAAGAAGATGATGGCGATGACAACAGCAACGATGGGGGACAATGAGCAGTGACAATAGTTATAATAGTAACTGTAGTAATAATAATATTATTAATAATAATAACAATAATCTCAGTGATATTAGCAATGGCAGTCAGGCAGGACCATGGTAGGAGGCTCCACCAGGATCGATAAGAACCTGCGAGACGAGAAAGCACAAGAACTCCGGGGAAGAAGTGGAGTTAGTAACATGCATTAATGGGACATGAATGAGTGCAGAAAGAGAGAGAGAGTATCTTGCTCAAGGATACTTCAACATGTGGCATGAGGAGCCGGGGATCAAACCCACAACCTTCCGATTAAGGAATGACCCGCTCTGCCTCTGAGCCACAGCCGCCCTGGACTGGAAGTCCAATGGAGAGAAGCTCGTTCCACAGGAGAGGAGCTTAGTAGCTGAAGGCTCTGGCTCCTGTTCTACTTTTAGAGACTATAGGAACCACAAGTAGTCCAGCATTCAGAGAACGTAGTGTTCTAGAGGGGTAATAGGGTACTATGAGCTATGAGATATGTAGGGGCCTGACCAGCGACAAATCATCCATTTTAGTCTCTAGGGCAGTAACAATTGTAGCATAGCTTTGTGGCAGGCTACCCAGCAGTGTCACGATCTGGTCCTCCTCTTCAATCACAGCACCTATTGCTCCTAGCTGATCAGTCAGTTCCTTCATTCGTTTTAAATGTTCAGTTATGGTTTCTCCTTCCTTCATTTCACATCTGAAATAGTGCTTCTTTAGAAACAGCTTATTTGCAAGTGTATCTCTTTCAAAATGTTACAGCTTGTTATCAGGTACAACTGGGATGTACTTACATTCAGCACCAAAACGGAAAATGCCCTTTTCTTTCCGTTTTTTGAATTCTGCTTGCACTTGTGAATTTGCGTCAGCTGCTAAGTTGTCTGTTTCCATCACCATGCCCCATAGTCCTTTTGCTTTCATCAAATGTTCCATTTGAAATTTACATGTTGCCCAGTTCTCTGGTCCGCTTAGCTTCTCAATAAACAGTTTATCCTCCATTGTGAATACCCACAACACTGTTCAGTAAATCTGATTTACTGAAGGGTTATTGGCAGGTTCCCTTGTCCAAGCGGGCACAGGAGATATCTGCGTTTATTACACCATCGGGTCTGTATTCTTACAAAGTGATGCCATTCGGATTGAAGAATGCTCCCGCAACATTTCAGCGTTTGATGAATTGTGTAGTGTCAGGTCTGAAAGGTTGTTCTGTTTATCTTGGTGAGTTGGTCATTTACAGCGACACATGGCACTCACACCTTCAGTGCATCCGCTCCCTATTTGACCGTTTGACTGAAGCACAACTCACCATTAATTTGGCCAAATGTGACTTTGCTATGGCCACAGTGACATACTTGGGCCGTGTGGTGGGACAGGGTCGTGTGGCTCCGGTCCAGACCAAAGTCAGGGCAATAACAGAATATCCACAACCTACGACAAAAAAGGAACTTCAGAGGTTCTTGGGGTTGGTGGGATACTACAGGAGTTTTTGCAAAAACTTCTCCACTGTTGTGTTTCCTCTCACTGAACTGCTCAAAGCCAAGGTGAAATTTGATTGGTCGTCTGATTGTCAGCAGGCTTTTGTTTTTGTTAATGTCAGATTGCTGTCTGAATGAATTATGCGTTGGTGTTCATAGTTTCTGTAAAATGAACTGAAGGACTGAACTGTGGAGAATCTAACTGATCTACAATGATTGACAGAAGATTAAACTTTTACAGTATCTTTGTGTAGACGATCTAAACGGCTTAAAAGTTGTTCAAGCGGGCGACCCGGTGGGGTACGACAATTACAATTCATGCACTCTCTACACAAACACAAAAAACAAAAACAACAAAAAGACTTGATTGAATTTATTATAAATTAACGAAAATATCCTCACACCCGTGAACACTAAGCAATCATGGGTTCCTCTAAGCAGCTGTCTAAGACTCTCAAAATAAAAGTTATTGATGCCCACTGATGTGATAGCAAAGCATTGTCAGATTGCAGTTTCCACAGTGTGAAATGTAATTAAGAGATAGCAGTTTACGGGAACTGCGGTGGTCAGGATGAGATCTGGAAGACCAAGGAGACTCTCAGAGTGAACTGCTCATATGTCAGACAAAGAAACCAGAACCTACATGGGAATACAAAAAACCTGCAGGAAGATTTAGCAGACAGTAGTTCCACTGTCTAGAGCTGCCTGTGCAGACAAAACCTTCATAAATGAGTCTGTAGAAAAAAACGTTACAAAACACTAACAGAATACTTTCGTACTTTTTATATTTGACTTCAGTTTAGTTGTTTTTTCTTTCTGTTTATGTCACACAGATGAGATTGTTCCAGTACCAAAACCACGACACATCTCACATTACCAACACTTGCTTCAATCAAACCTCAAAGATAGGTTTATGTGTGCACAAGAGGGGTGGATGGAGAAGAAGGATGAGCAACCTCTGCTTGATATCTACACAGAACTGTACATCACAGCTGGAGGTGACACACACATCAACACACAGCATGAGGTTAGACAGATTGAGGCGGTGGGGAAGCCAGCAGAAACAGAGACACCAATTAAACCCAGTGACATATTCAAACCCCCCTCTGGAAAAACAAGAGCCATAAGAGCAGTGCTGACCAGGGGAATCGCAGGAATTGGCAAAACATTTCTTGTGCGCAAGTTTGTGTTGGACTGGTCTGAAGGAAGAGCCAATCAAGATGTTCATCTCATATTTCCCTTCACCTTCCGCCAGCTGAATTCATGGAAGGGAGAAGAGTTCTATTTGGCAGAGCTCATTCATGAATGTATCCAGGAGACCAAACACATCCCAGAAGAAGCTCTGAATCACATCTTTACAACTTTGCAGTCATCAGGAAACACCAACTATGATGACAGCAAATTCAAACTTCTGTTTATTTTGGATGGACTGGATGAGAGCCGCCTTCAACTGGACTGCTCTACCAGTAAAATACGGGCAGTTAAGTTTAATGTGAAAAAGTCGACCTCAGTGGATGTGCTGCTGTCAAACCTCATCAGAGGGAAACTGCTTTCCTCTGCTCGCCTCTGGATAACCACACGACCTGCAGCAGCCAATCAGATCCATTCTGATTTTATTGACATAGTGACAGAGGTCAGAGGGTTCACTGACCCACAGAAGGAGGAGTACTTCAGGAAGAGGTTCAAAGATGAGGAGCAGGCCAGCAGAATCATCTCCCACATCAAGACATCAAGAAGCCTCCACATCATGTGCCACATCCCAGTCTTCTGCTGGATCACTGCTATAGTTCTGGATGGTGTGTTGAAGACCAGAGAGGGAGGAGAGCTGCCCAAGACCCTGACTGAGATGTATGTAGAATTCCTGGTGTTTCAGATTCATCAGACAAAAGAGAAGTATGACCAAGAACAGTGCATTCAGTACATTAAGTCATTAGCAAAACTGGCTTTCCACCAGCTGGAAAAGGGCAACCTGATCTTCTACGAGAAAGATCTGAAAGAGGGTGGCATTGATGTCAGTGGAGCCTCAGTGTGCTCAGGAGTGTTCACAGAGATCTTTAAAGAGGAACATGGGAAGAAGAAGGATGAAGACAAGATGTTTAGCTTCATCCATCTGAGTGTTCAGGAGTTTTTGGCAGCTTTATATGTGGAGATGTCGCTCATCAACAGAAACAAGAATGTGACTTCTAAGCTTGCACAAACTGTTGGTGAACATCTGCAAGCCTTTTTAAAAAGATCAGTGACAGCAGTCCACAGGTTTGCTATTGAAAAGGCCTTACAGAGTCCAAATGGACACCTGGACTTGTTCCTCCGCTTCCTCCTGGGTCTCTCTCTGCCAACCAATCAGACCAAACTCCCTCAAGGCCTACTGAAAGAGAAAAGAAGCTCTGATACCAACCAGGAAACAGTCAAGTACATCAAGAAGAAGATCAGTGAGAATCTGTCTGCAGAGAGAAGCATCAATCTGTTCCACTGTCTGAATGAACTGAATGATCGTTCTCTAGTGGAGGAGATTCAACAGTACCTGAGTTCAGGACGTCTCTCCACAGATAAACTGTCTCCTGCTCAGTGGTCAGCTCTGGTCTTCATCTTACTGTCATCAGAATCAGATCTGGATGTGTTTGACCTGAAGAAATACTCTGCTTCAGAGGAGGCTCTTCTGAGGCTGCTGCCAGTGGTCAAAGCCTCCAACAAAGCTCTGTAAGTGCACAGATATCTGCAGACACTAACTGTATCACATGTGTGGGGTTGATTTATTTGGTGATTCTTCAAACAATCTTTCCAGTTGTTTCTTGTATGATTTTTCCTGTACAGATGAACATACAAATAAATAAACTGCACTGTAGGTAATTTCAGAATTTTTTTTTTAAACTTTTGATAGATGGCTTTTAGTTTCCAGTAATATACTCAAAAACATCATCCAAAGAAACATTCTTTTCTCTTTGGATCCTAACAAATGATTGTTCCACTTATCAACTCAATAAGGGCAATCATAGAAACTTTATGTTTTTTTTTACATTGTAGACAGCCACAGTGTTTGTCTTTATCACTAACTCTCCTTCAGGCTGAGTGGCTGTAATCTGTCAGAGAGAAGCTGTGAAGCTCTGTCCTCAGTTCTCAGCTCCCAGTCCTCTAGTCTGAGAGAGCTGGACCTTAGTAACAACAACCTGCAGGATTCAGGAGTGAAGCTGCTGTCTGCTGGACTGAAGAGTTCACACTGGAGACTGGAGATTCTCAGGTCAGATCACACTGATGCTTTTGTGTAATGCTGGGTTGTACTTCAAACATGAGATGCTTTATAGCAGGGGTTCTCCACCTTTGTGGATGTGGGGGCAGCAACCAAGCAGAGAGTCGTCTCACGGACTGTGAGATGGGGGGTAGGGGTGAGGGTTTGACCGGACGGAAATTTTGTTTTAAAGATATTTTCAAGAGATCTTCTATGTTTATAACATTTTAAAAAGCTGCTAAGAATAGCATGTTCTGTTTGATGTCAGTTTGTTGTCCCTAATAAAAGATTCCATAATCCATCAATCAAAATCAAATTGCCTCCAGTGAAAAGTCCATTCCTGGTGTATGTGCACATGAGGCTTCAGGTGTGCACATCACTTTTGTAAATTGCAGAGATTTAGGGTGAGTGTAGCAGTACTGATTCCACAGATCTCAGCTGAGGGGAGAAGGAGCCTGAGAACCAGTTCCCAACTGCATAACAACAACAAATCTAACCAGTAGTTACACAATGAGAAAATGCCTCTTCAACAACAATTCACTCAGGTTTCAGTTTGAGGGGACTCAAAACCCCTTTAGTCAGAAAACAAAAGAGACAGCAAAGGAATCTCAACAGAAACCAGCGTCTCTGACTGACAGTATCTGCTAAAGTGAGGTCTGCACTAAACTGTGGAAGGATCAGAGTGTCCTGAGGGGTATTGCACAAAAGTAGAATAAAGAAATCCAGGATAATTGAGCAAGCGCGGCTTGACCTAGCCTGCTCGGCGCATCCTGGCTTAATCGGTTGCACGTTTGCCGAGCCAGGATGAAAAGGTGCGGCTATGTTAAGCCAGGTGTAGATAGTCGGGATAAATGCGTGTTCACGGCATACTGAACTAGACCTCGCGATCACTCACAGAATCACAGATGGGAACATGGATAAGAGTCGCGCTTCGTATTTCACGGCCGCTGAACAACAGCTCCTGATGGAGTTCTATGAAGAGGTGGAAGATATAAGAAAAAAAGGCAATACCAATGCCATAATTAAAGAAAGAGAGAAAGCCTGGCAGACAATAGCGGACCGGCTTAATGCTTAAGTAGTCCAAAACTGTACAATGAATAAACAGTGCTCCACTGGAACTGTCATCATTAGGCTACAATTAAAGGACTAAAGGAGTTACTTTAAGTCCACTAATAGAGGTGCATGTTACCACCTGGCAGCAAGTTACATTAAAAAGTGAAATACAAGAACATTTTGCAGGCTGGAAAGTGACTATAAAGTAGATAACGGTGAACAAATGAGGTGAATAGATTAGGTGTCTGCTGACATGTTGAATGTCTGTATGATTGTAGCAGTTTAAAAAAAAGCCCATAGAACTGGCACAGGGGGCGGCCCACCAAGCCAGGATATGTGCGGCAAATGGTTCCTTTATTGAGGTTCTCTGCATCCCCAACAGAATAAAGGAAGCTCCCACTTACTGTATTTTGTCTGGTGCTGTATTTTTGGACCCAGCAGCCTACATAAATATCTCAGTCCATCACCTGAGAATCTGTATCTCTCAGTGAGATAGTCATCTCCAACGGCCAATGGGTCTGACCTGTCCCAGAAGACTCTTTCATGACTAAATGCTCGTCTGAGGATTAGGGCTTCCTCATCCAGTACATCCTCCAAGAAAGGGCAAGCCATTATGAAGAGGGAACAGGTGAATGAGAGTTGGATAGATAGATAGATAGATAGATAGATAGATAGATAGATAGATAGATAGATAGATAGATAGATAGATAGATAGATAGATATTCCTTTATTTGTCCCACAATGGGGAAATTCCAATGTAACAGCAGCAAAGTGGATAGAGAGAAAACAGTATAAATAAACAGTAATAAATACACAATAATAAAAAACACTATGTACTAGATGTATATACATATATATGTATATATATACTATATATTGCCCTTGTCACAGATTTCATTGAAAACACTTTTGCAACTTCATCAGCTGTGTTTTGTAATCTCAATTACTGCAATAAAACACATATTTATGAAACCTCTGACGGCAATTTGACAAGCAGTCTTCATTAGCATAGCAATATAACACTTGGCCTGAGTAATAATACTACCACTTGAATCAATATAAAAAGACTGTTGCAATTACAAACAGCCAACAGATTTAAATGAAATGAGAAATGACAATACATATGTAATATTTGAATGCAGGATAATTAAATGATGCAACATACTTAGAAAGACCATGGACATGCTGTAAAACACATTAATTCCTCACAGGACTGACGGTGGAAATACAGGTGAATCACTAGGATTAATGTTAGCCTGGCTGTTAGCCTGGTCTGGAGCAGGCTAGCTGCAGAGAATAAATCACCATAGTAACTTGGCCAGGTTAAGTTTGACCTGCTTTCATGCAACCGACTTGAGGCTAAATTCAGCCAGGATAACCAACATATCCCGGCTTAATCCCTTATCTTGGTTTTGTGCAATACCCCTCTGGTGTGCAGTTCACTACCTCTCTTATGCCCTAAACAATGGGCCTTATCACACCAAGAGGGGAATGCACCAAGCTGCTGTCAATCATTGTTTGAGAGTCAGTCTACATAGCCTGTGATCTGAATAATGGGGCATTCGTTTTGTCTTGTAATCGCGACTTGCAGCTCGAGAGTGACGTCACATCCGTGTTGGAAAATGAATAACCGCGGGTTTTTGCGCTCTGTTTGGCACACAACACGACGAGTCGGAGAAAAGATGGACGCCTCCAGGAAAGTCGCTATAGTATAGTGATTATCTCGTTTACGGTGCACCCACCGCGGATTTTACATGTTCTTTACATATTACACAGTTTGATATCTGAATATTCCGCTTTGATTAACGTTAATGTGGCTACTGCTCCGCTTTCTGCTCAAGACTCAAGGCACTGTTGTCATAGCAACATGGAGCGTCTCTAGCCAATTTCAGCTGCACAAGCTACAAAATAACTAAAGAGGCGTATTTAACACATAATAAGACTGTAGCGACATGCCTATAGGTAACAGTATACAGTGCTATGTGTACCACTTCTTCATTTGGTTACAACAAAGACAAAAGTGCTTAAAATAGTAGAAAACCACAATGTTTACTACGTGTGACGCTCGGAGTAGCCATCTTGGTAACTGAACTCGGGTTCAGACGACTTGATGAGTTGTTTATACGACCTCAGGGGCGTTCTGTTTGCAACTTCCAGTTTGTAACTCAGGAAACCGACTCGCAGATCGAGTCAGGTGGACAAGTAGAACGCACCATAAGTCTCCTATCAACCCACAGGGATTTTGACATTCAGCTAAAATGAACTGGAAAAAAAGGAAATGAAAAGATTAAATTATAGCAAGTACGAAAGAATAACAGACTGCAACAAGAGAAACTTCAGTGGATGAATGTGAAGACAAACATCATTCTGCACTGTGAACAACATCCAAGTAACAAACACATAAGCACATCACATTTCTGAAAGTGAAGAAAGATTAAATAAATGCTTTTAGTCCAAATAAGATGTCACAGGGAAGTATAATTGATAAAGTCAGTTCAAATGAAGTTAATTTATTTAATCCTATTTCAAAAACAAAATGTCTTTTTGTAGGCTCAGTGTTTTTTGACTTTACACCTGTGAGGATGAACTTGTCAGAACTTGCACCGACAGCATCAGGAGGAGAGAGACAGGACAGAAGTAGAGAAGTGTGGAACTGAAGTTTATTTAGATATCATGCATAATAACACTGGTGGTGGTCAGAAGGGTTAGTTAAGTCCCAGTGTCATCGATACGTCACAGACTTTACATAGTTTTCAAGAGTCAGGTGGACAGAAGTACTTGATTTAATATGAAAGAAAGAGAATAACTTCTGTTGTAATAATAATTATGGAAGGGGCAGGATCAATAGATAATGTAATAAAGTGACTATGTGTAATTTCTTAACTCAAAAACTGGATTTAGTATTAAGTTATTCTTTTAACCATGTTTGGATTAGTATACGGTTTGTCTACACTTTGAATCAAATATAAATTAAAATGGTATAGTGTGAAATATAACAGAAGTTATCTCAGGACTCACCACACTCTGTCCTGCTCACTGACACTGAACAATTTAGGATACTAAACTGGAACAATGATGTAAATATATATATTTTTTTTGATTGATTATTATCAGGTTAAATCAAACCAGGCTCACAGAGAAATGCTGTCAGGAGTTTTTAGCAATTCTCAGATCCCAGTCCTCTAGTCTGAGAGAGCTGGACCTGAGTGACAATGACCTGCAGGATTCAGGAGTGAAGCTGCTCTCTGCTGGACTGAGGAGTCCACACGGTAGACTGGAGACTCTCAGGTCAGATCACACTGTGATTTTTTGTTTAACAGTATTTTCCTTTTTGTAAAACAAACATACAACAGACATGAATTCCTTTGGTTTCTACTGTGTTGTTGACCATATGTCTGCTCTTTGCATGGTAAAAATATTCCACAAATTCTCTTGATTACTGATTGATTCATTGATTATTGACCATAAACGGGATGTTAAAGTAAAAAATGAAAGGTGTTTTGTTTTTAATCAGGTTAAATCAAACCAGGCTCACAGAGGAATGCTGTCAGGAGTTCTCAGCAGTTCTCAGCTCCCAGTCCTCTATTCTGAGAGAGCTGGACCTGAGTAACAACAACCTGAAGGATTCAGGAGTGAAGCTGCTCTCTGCTGGACTGAAGAGTTCACACTGTAAACTGGAGACTCTCAGGTCAGTCTTAGCTTTGATTGTTTCAATGTTGACAAACAAGTTAGTGATAATTGAAAAATGTACCATATAAGATTACAATGCATGAATCATAAATAAAAACACTGCAGTAACAGTTCTAATAATGAAGATTCATCATTTAATTCTGCTGTTGTTCATAGTCACAGACACACAGAGAATTGGAACAGTGGAACAGCAAGAGATGAAAAGAAATGAAATATCTATGTGTGTGTGTGTGTGTGTGTGTGTGTGTGTGTGTGTGCGTGTGTGTGTGTGTCTCCAGACTGTCAGGCTGTATGATCACAGAGGAAGGCTGTACCTCTCTGGCCTCAGCTCTGAGATCCAACCCCTCCCATCTGAGAGAGCTGGACCTGAGCTACAATCATCCAGGAGACTCAGGAGTGAAGCTGCTGACTGCTGGACTGGAGGATCCACACTGGAGACTGGACACTCTCAGGTATGAACAGACAACCAGAGCTAACACAGTGTTTCTGTCACACTGACTATCTGAGGACTGTTGGTTCACTATGGGGGTATGTTCCTATCTTTATTCAAGAGTGTAAAGCAAAACTATTTACAAATGTGAGTGGAGAGTTGTATAACTGTTAATGTATAAACAAATCTATAAAAGGGTCTATAGATCTGACGATGTGTGGACTAATATATAATAATAAGTATTTGCTCCAAAAGCTGGAAATACAGATAATTCATTGGTTACAACTCAGGCGAGTGTCACACTGTAGATATTACAGATAGCTGGGACCAGAGTCTAGGTTCAGAGGAGAAGTTTATGACTAGAGCTCAGGAATAACAGACCACAGACCAAGAAATAAGTTTGAACTGCCGCCTAAAGTAATGAGTAGTAAATACACACAAAATGGCACCAAATTATTAATTATTATTTGAGTTCAAAGAATATTTTCAACTTAAGGTCCTTAGAGTTATTTAGTATCTCATTTTATCCTTGTCAGGCCGACTTTAGACTTCAGTTCTACTTTCTTGCTAAATCAAATCAAATCAGTTTTATTTGTATAGCGCCAATTCAAAACAGAAGTTATCTCAGGACACTTTTCAAATAGAGCAGGTCTAGACCAAACTCTTTATAACATTATTTACAGAAACCCAACAGTACCACCATGAGCAAGACCTTGGAGACAAGGGCAAGGAAAAACTGCCTGTTAAAAGGCAGAAACCTAGGACAGATCCTCCGGCTCTAGGTGGGTGGTCGTCTGTCTCGACCAGTTGGGGTGAGGGTGAGGGTGAGGGTGAGAGAGAGAGAGAAAGAAAGAGAGAGAGAGAGAGAGAGAGAGAGAGAGAGAGAGAGAGAGAGAGAGAGAGACAGACAGACAGACAGACAGACAGACAGACAGACAGACAGACGGACAGGTGCACAGCAACAACAGTATTGGCAATGGCAGTCAGGCAGGACCATGGTAGGAGGCTCCACCAGGATCGATAAGAACCTGCGAGACGAGAAAGCACAAGAACTCCGGGGAAGAAGTGGAGTTAGTAACATGCATTAATGGGACATGAATGAGTGCAGAAAGAGAGAGGAAGAGAGAAGCTCAGTGCACCATGGGAAATCCCCCGATAGTCTAGGCCTATGGCAGCATAACTAAGGGACGGTTCAGGACTCACCTGATCCAGCCCTAACTATAAGCTTTATCAAAGAGGAACGTCTTAAGCCTACTCTTGAATGTGGTGAGGGTGTCTGCCTCCCGAACCACAACTGGAAGTTGGTTCCACAGGAGAGGAGCTTGGTAACTGAAGGCTCTGGCTCCTGTTCTACTTTTAGAGACTATAGGAACCACAAGTAGTCCAGCATTCAGAGAACGTAGTGTTCTAGAGGGGTAATAGGGTACTATGAGCTCTTTAAGATATGAAGGGGCCTGACCATGCAGAGCTTTATAGGTGAGGAGGAGGATTTTAAATTCTACTCTACATTTTACTGGGAGCCAATGCAAAGAAGCTAGTACAGGAGAGATGTGATCTCTTTTTCTAGTTCCTGTCAGTACTCGTGCTGCAGCGTTCTGAATTAATTGGAGCGTCTTAATGGACTTATTGGGGCAACCTGATAATAAAGAGTTGCAGTAATCCAGCCTTGAAGTAACAAATGCATGGATTAGTTTTTCTGCATCTGTCTGTGATAGTATGTGTCTAATTTTTGTAATATTACGTAAATGAAAGTATGCAGTCCTGGAGGTTTGCTTTATGTGGGAATTAAATGACAAATCCTGATCAAGGATAACTCCAAGATTTCTGACAGTGGTGCTAGAGGCCAAGGTAATGCCATCTAGAGTAACTAATTCTTCAGACAGTGAGTCTCTGAGGTTTTTGGGGCCAAGAACAAGAATTTCATTTTTTTCTGAGTTTAACATCAGAAAATTGCAGCTCATCCAGGATTTGATGTCCTTAAGACATGTTTGTAGTTTAGATAATTGGTTAATTTCATCGGGTTTAATCGATAGATATAACTGTGTATCATCTGCATAACAGTGAAAGTTAATACAGTGATTCCTAATAATGTTGCCTAAAGGGAGCATATATAAAGTAAATAGTATTGGTCCAAGTACAGAACCTTGTGGAACTCCATGACTAACTGTAGTATTTATGGAAGATTCATCGTTAACATGTACAAACTGCGAACGATCTGATAAATATGACTTAAACCAGCTTAGTGCGGTTCCTTTAATGCCAATTTGATGCTCAAGTCTCTGTAAAAGAATATCATGGTCAATGGTGTCAAATGCAGCACTAAGATCTAATAATACAAGTACAGAGACAAGTCCATTGTCAGAAGCAATCAGAAGGTCATTATTAACTTTAACCAGAGCTGTCTCTGTGCTATGATGAACTCTAAATCCTGACTGAAAATCCTCAAATAAACTATTGTTATGTAGAAAGTCACACAACTCTTTGGCGACTACTTTCTCCAGAATCTTAGAGAGGAAGGGGAGGTTAGAGATTGGTCTATAGTTGGCTAAAACCCCTGGGTCAAGAGTGGGCTTTTTAAGAAGGGGTTTAATTACAGCTACTTTAAAGGACTGTGGTACATATCCTGATAATAAAGAAAGATTAATCATATCCACTAAAGAAGTGCCAATTAATGGAACAACTTCTTTAAGCAGCCTAGTTGGGATCGGGTCTAACAGACAGGTTGACGGCTTCGATGAAGAAATTATTGAAGTTAACTGATGGAGATCAATAGTAGAGAAACAGTCTAAATATATATCTGATTTTACATTTGTTAAAGTTCCTGAACTTGGAGAGCCAGTGATAGCTGTTGATGGCAGTTGGTGATTAATTAGCTAGTTTACTTAACCAGTACACTCGTTTAAAGTTTACAGTAACAGAAAAACCCATTTGCAATACCAATTTGGCACAAATAAAAGAGAAATAAAATACCATAAATACAGAATCAAAAGACAAAATAACTGTACAGATTAATATATATGATCAATAACTCAAGTTTCACAACTCTCATTTTCTTTAGTCCTTTTGTAAAGTACAATGAGCTTCACTGCAGTAAAATAATAACGGTTCAGTCCTGCCACGATTCAGATGTCCTTATCCTGAGAGTTTAGGTTGGTGTCACAGAAGCGGACCCGTATCCAGGGGCGCCATATAGGGGGGAAAAGTTAGGATAATTCCAAGGGCCCATGACTGACAGGGGCCCCAAAAATAGGTAAAAACTCATTCAGTATATATATTTCAAATATAATAATATAATTAATGATCTCTTTGTTTTTACTTGTTTTTGGCAGTAAAAGTTAAATATCCCCATTGACCAAAAAGTAAACATCCATATTGACTGACCACCCCCCTGTATCTGCATGAAATGGTTTGGTCCTGCTTTAGCACACTTATCAGTGACGGTGTTTGCAGTCAGTAGATGCTCCAGAACTACAGTGATCACAATGTTAACTAGTAAATCAAAATCTGGGTTTCAAAAAAGGAAAGAGAGAAAAGAGAGAGAGGAAAGACAAAGGAAAGGATGTCAGTCTGTAACCCAGTGTTTCACCAAGAAAGGAGCCTATAGTCTGTGAGTGGTATTAACCTGTTGGCTTAAAGGGGAACTTCGGCAGATTTTTACCCTAGTCTTGATCACTAGAGGTCACCAAGTACTGTCGATAGGAAAAACAACGACCAGAATTGGTTCTAGCAAACTGGAGATGCTGCAGCTAATGGCCAGAGCTCAAACTGTCTGTGCAACATGCTCAGGGCCCTTACGTGACAATCACGGATCACGATCACGGAGATAATGCCTTCACAACGAAAAAAAGTTTATTTCCCCCTCAAAAATGTCCATGTCTTCACACACTACAAGGGAAATCCCAGTTAGTTATAATACACTTTTTGGAAAGTGTATTACTAGTGAAGCGAGCGGTGGAAAAACAGGTAGGTGACAGTACTGTTTGTACAGTTTCTGCACAACGTATGAGTTGAAAAGGCATGTTGTTGTAACGTAAGGGCCCTGAGCATGTTGCACAGACATTTTAACTGCATTTTGTGTCTGTTAAGAGGAGCAAAAGCACTCTTTAGGATATGCCCCCAAAAAGTGTATTATAACTAACTGGGAGCTCTGGCCATTAGCTGCAGCATCTCCAGTTTGCTAGAACCAATTCTGGTCGTTGTTTTTCCTATCGACAGTACTCGGGGACCTATAGTGATCAAGATTAGGGTCAAAATCTGCCGAAGTTCCCCTTTAATGTCCATAGGGAAATAAGATAGCCAGCTACAGACTAGTGTTAGCCTACATTTAATCACCATTTAATCAGTTCAGGGAAACGTTCAGCAACATATTCATATTAAATCATTGTCCCTGCCCCTTTTAGCAGACTTAACAACAGATGAGTCAGCAGCACCCAGTCTCCCCATCACTGTACCCCTCCCTGTCCCAGTGAAGAAGGGTTGCTCACCTTCTTCACTGGGACTGCTCAGTCATTAATATGATTGTCTTCAAATGTTAAAATGCTGTTTTTGTGACACATGAGCTTAAACTCACAGTCAAACATCACTCCCAGATTTCTTGCTGTTTCAGTTGTGAGGCCAGTTTGTCTCTCTGAGCCTTTGGACCAATGATCAGTTCTTCTGTCCATGGAGATCATTGATGAGGAAGCTTCTGAAGGTTCACTGTGACTCTGTTTCTTCCTCCAGGGTGGAACACGGTGGAGAGCAGAGGCTGAAACCTGGTCTGAGGAAGTGTAAGTGTGTGTTCACTTTGATTCATGAAAACATGTTAAAGTAGTTCAAATCAAAAGCTTGTGTATCTGCATTCAACTGTCAGTTTGAAAGAAGATCCAAACAGATGAGTCATTGTGAAGTTTTGATCTAATTAACAGTCAGTCTGTTAATAAAGCAACAAATAAAGCCATCAGCTGTGTTAGATGATAAACTGCTGCTGTATTGAGTCTTGTTCTCTCCATCAGATTCCTGTGAACTCACAGTGGACACAAACACAGTGAACAGAAACCTCAAACTGTCTGACAACAACAGGAATGTGACATATGTGGGAGAGAAGCAGTTATATCCTGATCATCCAGAGAGATTTGACTACTGGGCTCAGCTGCTGTGTAGAAATGGTCTGACTGGTCGCTGTTACTGGGAGGTCGAGTGGAGAGGATGTGTTTATATATCAGTGAGTTACAGAGGAATCAGAAGGAGAGGAAACAGTGCTGACATCAGGTTTGGAGGAAATGATCAGTCCTGGACTCTGGAGTGCTCTGATGATGGTGTTTACTCTGTCTGGTACAATAACAGAAGAACAGCCCTTCCCTCGTCCTCCTCCTCCTCCTCTGTCTCTAACAGAGTAGGAGTGTATGTGGACTGTCCTGGTGGCACTCTGTCCTTCTACAGAGTCTCCTCTGACACACTGATCCACCTCCGCACCTTCAACACCACATTCACTGAACCTCTTTATCCTGGTTTCAGGTTCTGGTTTGGATCCTCAGTGTCTCTGTGTTCACTGTAGGAGGAAGAGTCTCCTCCTGTTAGAAACACTGCTGACAAACACACACAAACACCTGAGCCTTGTTTCTGTTAAAGTCCATATTTCTTTACATGTTGGTGAATCTGCGCCATGAAAAGTCGCTGCATTTGCTACGAGCACTTCCTGTTTGTACTGTAACCTTCTTACAAACACTGTTACCTTGAGCCAGTGTTTGGTTTGTCCATTTTGAGACACTGTAGAAACATGGCAGACTCCTCCAGAAGTTGTACCTCCGACTTCATAGTCAGCTCTGCTTTGAATAATAATCTGTCTGATGTGAAAAAACAAAAACCACACAGGTTGATACACTTTATAATCTTATTCCAGTTCCCTTCCTCAACAAACTCCACGAAGCTCCTCCAGATATTTTCAAAGACTTCCAGCTTTCTTTCACCAATGTTTGTTCATGTTTCCAACACATGATAATAGATCCTTAATATAATGATTCAGCTTTGGTCTGTTGACATTTTCCATCCTGTAGCACTCGCTCTCTGAGCTTTATCAGAGTGTCAGACTGCAGAGTGACCAGCAGGAGGCAGCAGATCCACACAAACACACACAGAAATAACATGAGAGACTTCAGAGGTGGATTCAGAGTCACATTAAAACCTGTTGAGAAGTCAGTTTGTTGCACTTTCTGTCAGGTTAATGAAGCTTTTAATCCCAACTGATGGATGGATTAAAAACACTGTGCAGCAGCTGAGAAACATTATTGAAAAAGACTCTTTATTTTACTGAATGGTTGGATGGATGTATCTGTATTCTGTTTAAAATAAGATCATTACAGTTTATCAACCAGTCTGATCCAGTGCTCCAGCGCTGTGTGTGATGGACCTTTTATTTTATACATTGTTTAATGGAAATATTAAAACTCTTTTTCTGGTTTATTTGACTTTTATTTTCACATGAATTCAGAATCATAATAATAATAATAATAATAATAATAATAATAATAATAATAATGATACATTTGATTCAGTGTTTTTATGAAGAAACTCAAACTGGGCTTTTACTGGTGACGTCATCCTGTTTGGACGCTGTGTGACGTCACCGGCCGAGTGCGCAGACTCCGTTTTTAAGGTGGATTTATGGGACATTTCTCCTGCAGGTGGAAACAAACTGTCAGTCAAAGTGAAACAGTGATAATCTGTGTTCCTCCTGTCTGTGCTGTTATATTCCTCTCTCGGTGTTTCCTCTCCGTTTCCGTTATACCGGGAGTCACATGACACCTCGTGCTGCATTCACTGACCCCGCTGTAAAGTCCGAAAAACAACCCTTCAAATGAGAAACATCTGCAAGAAGCAGGCGACAGTGAAACAGTCTAAATAATTAAATGAATAGACTGTATAATACAGTGTAAATATATATATTTTATAACTTCTCATGTCCTCATCAGCTGTTATATTTATTTCATTACTCCAGTGTGTCACTGTAATATAATATTCATACGTATGTTTGTATGTTTATCTACAGAGACAATGATTCACTTCAGATGTTAGATGGTAAAAAAAAACCTTTACTGTGATAAACACAATACTATTTCTACTATTACAGTTAAAGGACATTAGTTCTGTTGATTTCACTGTTAAAGACATTTGTTCCATAGTTTTTCACGTTTTTACCATCAAGAGAAAGTCTTTGCCCAGAGATTTAAAAAATGGTAAAAATAAAATACAAAAATACTTTATGTTTGTATAAGTTCCTATAAAATGTCGTTTTCTTCTTTAGCTCTTTATGCTATGGTCACAAACATACACTGTATAAATCAAACTGTTCAGGGTGGTCGGCGCCATATTTAAACATCAATCTTTAATCATTTCTCTTTTCCTGATTCACAGAAAACATCGTCTCCATCATTTAATGAACTTTTATTTCATAGTTTTTAGTCTCTTTCATCTATTTCTGACTCTATTCTATAATAATTCATTATTAAAGGTTTATAATTGTTTCTTCATCTTTAGCTTCAGACTAATAGAATCATTCATTAAAGAATCGTTCTTATTGAAGTTATATTCTTTAGAGGTTTTTCACTGAATGTGCCTTTAAAGTCGGAGGACACGTTAGTACTGAGTGTTTGAGTGAACCCGGTTCCAGAGGGGTCAACAGCTCCACATTCTCCAGCTGAAAGCACACTGGAGGTTTCCTGTTGTTACCACGTCACTGCGTCTCCCGTCGCCTACATTCCCTCCGGTCCGTGAAGGCAGCAGCAGTCCTGCTTTATCAGCGCGGACCGACAGCAGCTGGGACCAGTTCAGGGCCGGACTGGAGCCCGATGGGGGTCAGAGTGTGAGGAAGACATGTGATGCGGATCCTCTCAGATGTGACGAGAGGAAACTGAAGATCAGAAGGTTTTTTTGTGTCCTGCAGAGACTCAAACTGTCCGACTGAAGTCTGGGAACTGTTGCTGTCCCTCTCACAAAGTGGTTTTTTGGGGATCTGGGAGTGTGAGAGATGTCGGAGGCGGCAGAGAGGAGCGAGAACATTCCTGCAGGAAAAGGAAAAGAAGGAATTCCCAACGGAGGGAATCCTGAGAAAAGCAAAGAGGTGAGTTTGATGGACTCTGGTCCTCTCTGTCTCATAAAGTAGTCCCACAGTGAGGACAGACTCTGTCTCATAAAGTAGTCCCACAGTGAGACAGAGTCTGTCAGACTGAAGACATCTGGATTCATTTGAACTGTGTCTGACTGCAGCACAAGTGGATGATTGACAGACAGTGAGTGTCTTTATGTCCCCGTAACGTGTTCAGAAGTCTTCACTCTGCCAGAGACTCGGGGCCGGATCCCTCAGCATCGTGATTTTATTATTATTATTATTATTATTATTATTATTATTATTATGTAACCAGATTGTTTACAGACGAGGTGCTGCCACTCAGAGCAAAGACAGGATGCAAACAAACAAACAAAAAGCAAAGCAGGCAAGCAAACTCTGAGCATCAGAGAGAGTTTATTAAAGGAAATAAACTGTTGATCCAAACATCATCATTCTCATTAATAATCAATCATAAGGTCACCAGCTCCTCCGTTTCAGGTGCATTCTGGGATTGTTTGCAGCCTAAAATGTCTGATATCTTTCACTAAAAGGTTGAGATGTTTTTACAATAACCTGCAGGAGAAAGTGAGACAGGCACCGATTAATGACACCGATCAACTCACTGTTGGGTGTGATCAATAACTCGTCACTGATTCACTTTACAGATCAGAAAATAAGGACTGCTGCTGTCTGACCACCGGCAGTATGAGGTTAACATTAGACACAGAAACATAATGCTTCCTTATGGACTGTGTGATGCCTTCGCCATCCTACGAAAACAACCAGCTGTCAGAACACGACTGAGTGATCCATTTAAAGGAACAGTCCCCTGAGTTAGTGGCGGCCCCCTCCACTGCAGCCACCAATTACAGCCAATAGAAGAACAATTTCTATATTTATACCGTATGTTTGGGTCCTGGGTCCTTTAGGGAAAATGAAAATAAACTATTTGTGTGTGTTTCAGGACTTCGATCTGGCTTCCATCTACGTGTCCGACGCTCAGTACAACAGGAACATCTACTTCGACACGTCGCCCGAGGCCGTGAGGTGAGAGCGGCGTCGTAGTCCCTGAACATAGTCCCCAACTGATGCACGAAAGACTCCAGTTCACGAAACTCCTGAACCTTTGTTCAACTTATATATGTGTCAGTTCAGAAGGAACCAATGAGCAGAGAGCCACAGACAGGAAGCTAATGTTAGCTAAATGGCTCGCTAAACTTCATCATCATTAGCTCGCTATTTTGCTAACATTAGCTATAAGATGTAACTATCCAGCTGAGGGTTGATGTAGAATAGCTAGCTAGTTAGTTAGCATTTTGCTAACATTAGCTAACTTACGATGTAGTTTTAAGACAGGATGTTACGTAGTTTCCTCACATGATGAGAAAATGTGGCTCATCTGAACAATAATATATTTTATAGTGCTGTCAGTTAAACCCATTTTAACGGCGTCAATCTTTTTATCGCGAGATCAACGTTCTGTTTGGCCTAGCACACTTTGTAGTTTTCTTCATGCTGTTGCAACAAATAGTAACGTTAGAAAAACTACAACACCCACCGGATCTAGCTAGACCGGAAACAAAACAACAGGCACGCCGCACACACTTGTTTAAGAGCAGCAGACGTTACGTTTTGAGTGGATGTTGTTTTCAATAAAAACAACGTTTGCACAAAGTAATCCGATCCACTTTTCCATGTTGATAAGATTAAAATGAGAAAACATAATGGGACAAAAAGAAATCAAAGGACATTTAGAATAGATAAAAATGTGTGATTAATCGCGATTAAATATTTTAATTGTTTGACTGCACTAATATTTTATTCAGTTCACCATCATGAGTGTTGGTTTGTTTCTCACTTACTTGTCTTTTCAACACAGATTAGCCTAGCATATAGCATATCTAAGTAACGAGGTCAGTCAGTCCACAATGAATGGAAGTCAACGGCGTGTCCTCTGTTCTCAGACTGTATCTGCGCTACAACCACTGGCTCGCTAAAGTGCTCCTCTACTTCTTTATCCTGGTCGATCTGTCTCTGGCGCTGTTCGAGGAGCCGGCCGTCCTCCCTCTGCCGATATGGGTAAGATGGCCGCCTCTGTCCGACGTTCTGCCAGAACGCACAGCTTCAGTCTGTTAGCATTAGCTTCAGTCTGTTAGCTTTAGACTCAGTCTGTTAGCTTTTTATTCTGCAGATAGAGGTGCGGGTTCAGTAAAGATGCTAACAATGCTAAAAGCGAACTAAAACACACGAGATCACAAGAGAAACATTAATCACGTGCTCTGAATGCTGATTTTTTTAAACGTTGTTCAGCTTTGGTGTGAGTCTGAGAGCCAATCAGAGACGAGGATGTTGGCCTGTGGGGCGTTCAAAGTCAGCTGCGTTGTGTTGTGTTTTCAGGCTACCATGCTGGTGGAGCTGCTCTGTCTGCTCGTCTTCACCATCCGACTCGCTCACTACGCCAAAGTGATCCCTCGAGACAAGTTCTGGAAAGATCCCAAAAACATCTGCATCATCGTCATCCTCCTGGTAGGAGGGGCTTATCTGCATCATCAGTGTGGTGGGAGGGGCTTATCTGCATCATCAGTGTGGTGGGAGGGGCTTATCTGCATCATCAGTGTGGTGGGAGGGGCTTATCTGCATCATCATTGGGGTGGGAGGGGCTTATCTGCATCATCAGTGTGGTGGGAGGGGCTTATCTGCATCATCAGTGGGTGGGAGGGGCTTATCTGCATCATCAGTGGGGTGGGAGGGGCTTATCTGCATCATCAGTGAGGTGGGAGGGGCTATAACTTATACACTACAGGTTAGCTCGCACGCTAACGACGTGCTGTTCACTGGGAGCTCCCAGAGTCAGCTAACGGGTCCGTCTCTAACTTCCTGATTCTGTAGTAAATATGTGAATATGAGGAAGCTAACGGCTCTCTGAGTTCACTCGGAGACAAATGGAGGAGGAATGTGGTCAAACTGCAGCGTGCTCTCAGTAAAGAGTGAGTGAAGGTGATTGGTTGCCTCAGTCTCTGAGTCACCAGGAAGTGTTTCTGCTTTAAGAGCTGCTGACGAGGCAACTCCTCCGGGCTAAAGGTTGTTTCACAACAACAGGCAGAAAGTTCTTCTCAGCACATTCTGACTCTCACTGACAGGAAGTCGGCCTGCGCTTTCACACCGAAACCAGGAAGTGTCCTGAGTCCAAACTGCACCACTCACCAACCGTCAACCGGCACTAATCCGGCCCCGAGTGGTTCGCTGCAGTTTAATGTTAGAAATGTACAGTTTGTGTCTCCAGCAGTTACACATGTTGGACTATCAGCATAATTAACATTTCTTTAGTTCTGTTGGTGTCACTGTCTCGGATC